TTTTGGCTTTTGATTTTAGGTGCCCCATAGCAAAGATCTTGTCTGCTCTGGAGCAGCTACTTGTGCAGACCAACGACTGGGAAATGTACGCGCACCGGGAAAACAATCTAAAATCTCATCAGCATGCCCTGACCTCGCTTATCATCGACTGGAGACGTTTAGAGCTTTCGTGCTGGCAGACGCTTTTGCGCTCACATTCAGATTCTTTTGCGAGTACTGTATCTGAATATTGGTTCCATCTGTATGAAGTCACTGTCCAAGGAACTCTGGCGGCCGTGGACGAGGGTTCAGAGGTGTCTGCTGACTATCTTCGTCAACTTACCAATTTGTTGGATGATTTCATTTGCTCAAGCCCAATAGGTCAATTTCAACCAAGGATGCGGCTTTTGGCATCATTTGGTTCCTTCGTTAGCAAACTCATGGTTACGAAAGCGAAAATGTATGGATCAGCCTTGGAGCGTGTTCAGCTCATATTGAAGTCGACATGGAGGTACTACCAGCTCTTCTCGTTACGTTTGTCAACGTATTTGGAGGACCAGCGATCCACCCTCGAAAAGGAGGTAGAAGGATTCATCAAACTTGCAAGCTGGAAGGATGTCAATGTGCAGGCCTTGAAACAGAGTGCTCAGAGGACGCATCACAATTTATACAAGATTATTCGCAAATACAGAGATACACTTAGACAGCCCATTGCCGATCGACTGTTACCCGTGTTCGCAGGAGATGGCGAATGTCAACTCATGGAGACTACGAGGACTCGTCAATCCTCACCACCCCCTTTACTCTCGACTTCGTTGTCAATTTCCGGCAAGCCAGCGCTACTGGGACCAGCTTATTTGACTAATCTGGCTGGGACTCTCCAAAAATTCGAAACGTTTATTGAGAGTCGTGTCCAGACCTTCTTACAGCAATACCAGGCCCAGGTTGTCGATCAAATGGCTGTGGACGTTATCGTGACCTCCCAGAACTTGGCCAATGAAGTTGTTCCACCAAGTTTGTCCCAAGAGAAAAGGAGGAAATACGGTAAAACAATACTCGTTCGGAAGAGGAGAGCTTGGAGTGATCTTTTGAAGGAGCTGAAGCGAATGGGACTTTCTGCCAATCTCAAACCTGAAATGCTCTGCCTGCTTAGGGATGATAGCTGGATTCGCCAGCAACCGATTATGGCCACAGCTTCAGATTCTATTTTCGTAGAAAAAGGGGAGGTGTATTTCGATCGCCTACGTGGGGCTCTTCCTAGCCTTAGAGCTCTGCTTCCAAATCACCATTCAGATATAGCTACACGCGATTTACTGAGAGGCATAACCTTATTGGAATCGGGCTACTCTTTAGCTTTAGACGGTAGAAATCGGTATGTGCTCTTTTTTAGCTATAGAAAAGCTCTAATCTTGTCCTTAAGGTTGGCACGAACACTGGCCAGTTTCCAAGAGCTCCATAAAATCTCAAAGCGTCTTGAAATCCTTGCGCAAGCTCCCAAGTTCACCAAGTTTGGCCATTCGTTGTTCGCTGAATTAAGATCTATTTTGAACACATTAAACAAGGCAAGTCATGCTCTGGATGAACTTGCTGAAGGCGTAGAGACATTCGATAATCTCAACACGGAGTGTACTGTCACTGCGCTTGCAAAGAAGGCCAAGTCAATTTGCATATGCACAACCGCATTTCGTGAGCGCTTCAAGGCAATCATGTGTGACATAGAGTTGTCGCCCTGTCCCATTTTACTAGAAGGTGCATTTCTATACCCTCTTCATCCCCTTCAATGCTAATCAGCTCTGGTAGACGAGCACATGTTCGTTCTGGATGTAGTGCGACATCTTCGTGGTCTGCCTATCCAACTCAACGAAATGTTAGCAGCAGAGCCAAGATTACATTACCTTTTACATCCCGTGGAGAACTGGATCAGCGAGCAGGGTATTCCAACACTCCTTCCCTCGGATCTATCCAGAACCCTTGAAGGCAATGAGACCAACGTATTCATCGACGTCCTATTAATCAACGTGCAGACGATGTTGTCACATTGCCCCACCACTTGTGAGGTCAAGCCTTCTGAGCCGACTCCAGACGGTTTCATTCGCAATGGCTTACGCATCATGTCACAATTTACGAGCCTTTTGGACGTCAACGGTGTGGTAGAGAAAGTGCGTACCGCCGCTGACCAGCTTTCAGGCAGTTCGCAGTCAGACACCCAGGAACGGCTTAAATACATACTTCCTTTCTTACGTCGTTACACGGACTTTGCTCAGGAACAACTCATGGCTCTTGCTGAATGGATCAAAGCGCTCTTTAAGCTTTGTTTTGTGTTGTGTTCTGTCATGCATAACGTAGCAAAACAAGGGTTTTGTACACCTCCTGACGTAGAAGACTCTGGCTCGGGTCCTGACTCGGGAGAAGCTACTGGTGGAGTAGGATTGGGAGAAGGAGCAGGGTCGGAAAATGTTAGCAAGGAAATTGAAGACGAAAGTCAAGTAGAGGGACTCAAAGGTGATGATGCAGAAGATGCTGCGCAAAAGGAGCACGGCGATGACAAGGATGCCATTGAGATGGGGGATGACTTTGGAGGAGAAATGGAAGACGTACCGGACACTGGCTCCCAAGACGAGGGCTCAGACAGCGAGAGTGACCAAGAATTGGATGAACAGATCGAAGATTTAGGTCCATCAGACCCTTCTGCTGTTGACGAGAAGCTTTGGGGAGACGAGTCAGGCCCCGATTCCAACGAGATGGATCAAACACAACAAGATCGTTCCACTGCAAATGAGGACAATTCCGATGTAGTAGCAAAGGAGGAAAAGGAGGAAAAGCAGCGCGATAAGCCAATAGACAGCAAGAAGGAAGAGGAGACTCGGGAAGGTGATTCCATGGACGATGTTGGTGACGACGCCGCTAACTCGGAACACGACCAAGAAGATAAGGATAGCGATTTTCCTAATGCCAATGGGGCGCCCATCGACAATCACATTCCGGATGCTGACACACTGGATCTCCCTGAAGATATGAAACTGGAAGATGATCTGCAAGGACCACCGGATGCCGAGGATATTGCTAGTGAAGACGAAGGCCAGCTAGATGAAAATACCGACGTGCCTATGAAGGATGATACTCCTCATGATGGCTCAGAACCGCTGGATGAGGATGATGTCATGGAGCCACCACACAACATGGAAGGAGACGATACTCGAGATGAGGGTGACAATGAGATGGACGCCGGTGCCGTTGCTCAACCTGACTTGTCAGCAGGCGAAGGGGAATCAGGAATGGATGATCCCACGCAAGGTCAGGATGGTTCAACCGAACCCCAAACGTCTGGATCTTCTGGAGAGATGAAACCTGACGACATGGAGCCGAAGGCATCTGAAAACGCGCTTGAACAAACTGGGTAAGTCAGGACTAGCCAGGCCTACAATATTTGCTTATTATTACTTTAGGCAAATGGAACCAAGTGGACCCGAGGAGCAATCTCGGAACGATCTACTTGATGCGTCCCAGGCAGTTGAAACGTCCACATCGGCTACTCAGCGTGGCGAAGGATCTTCTCAGGAAAGCAACGACCTTGCAAATAACCCTATGCGGAATCTTGGCGATGCACTCAAAGAAATTCAGCAGAGATTCCAAGAAATATTTGATGGCGATGCTTCCGTCAAAGAGCCAATTAAACAATCTGATAAACCTCCTGACCAGGTGGAATATGATTACTCCGAAAATGTCGACCACGATATGCAGGCGCTGGGACCTGCAGGGGAGGAGCAGGTTGCTAAATTAAATGATCTGAAATTAGTGGACCATGATCAGCCAAAAGATGAAGCCGGTGCAGCGATGGATATGGATATCTCTCCCACAGAACAGCAGGAAAAGATACAACCAATTTCCTCGCTTCACGCCAAACCTTCAACGGAGGGAGTGCAGGACGATGTGGAAGGAGCTATTGCTCAGATAGAGTCACGCAGTAATGGCTCCAAAGAACCTCTCCCTTCCGTACCGGACGCGTCTCTAATGAAAGCCGAATCGGACATGGATGACTCAGAGGAGGTCACCTTTGATCGTGCTGAAGCCGAGCTCAGGACGTGGCAAGCACAGAGTTACTCTGAAGACGGAGCTGAGCGTATCTGGCGGTTATACGAAACGCTTACCCATGATTTATCCTACGCCTTGTGCGAGCAATTGCGACTAATCCTCGAACCAACAATGGCAACAAGACTCAAGGGTGATTACCGTACGGGCAAGCGGCTTAATATGAAAAAAATCATACCATACATTGCTAGTGATTATACAAAGGACAAGATATGGCTCCGACGAACGCGACCAAGCCAACGGGAGTATCAGATCCTCATTGCACTTGATGACTCTCGTTCTATGGCTGAGTCCCACTCAGTTCATCTAGCTTATGAGACTTTAGCGCTCGTGTCGAAGGCCCTCAGCCGGTTGGAGGTGGGCGACATTGCGATTGCCAAGTTCGGGGAAGCAGTAGATATCATCCACGGATTTGATGAAGGTCCTTTTACCGACCAAGCAGGAACAAAAGTCGTCAACGCATTCCGGTTTGATCAAAAAGCCACGAATGTTCTGTCTCTCGTGGAGACCAGTCTGAAGGTTCTTGAAGTCGCGAGAGAGGGTCGCTCCATGCGCTCTGCCTCTGCTGCCGATTTATGGCAACTAGAAATAATAATATCCGATGGTATTTGTCAGGACCATGATCGACTACGTGCTATGCTCAGAAGAGCCGCAGGACAGCGGGTTATGATTGTCTTCATCGTGATCGACTCCCTTCATTCTGCTGCTGGTTCGACTGACAATCGCACATCCAGCGAGTTAGCTGGTTCACAGAATTCGATACTTTCCATGAATCAAGTGGCATACAAGATGGTTGACGGGAGGATGGAGCTGCAAATGGAGCGTTATATGGATTCTTTCCCCTTTGATTACTATGTCGTTTTACGCAGCGTCGAGGCATTACCGGAGGTCTTGTCGGGTACATTGAGACAGTTCTTCGAGCGGATTTCAGAAGAGTAGAAAATGTTTTTTTTTTGCGTGCCTGTGAACAGTGTTTTTCAGTTTATGTACCTCTATAGAATGTCTAAAACTACGTATATATGCTATTGTTAATTATCACTATAGTTCTTGAAATGAGCAGCTGTGCCGGAGCGTGTCCCAATGCAATTGAGGTGGGGTGATAAGGTTAAAGAGTGTACAGAGAGAATTATAAAGAACTATAGCTTTTTTTTCGTTGTCCGTTCTTGAGCCCATATTTTTTGCTGGAATTCAAGTAAAATAGGAATGAAATCCCACAAACCAAAGTCAGGCCAATATGTGTCTACGAAGTGTATTTGTGTATTTTCGCAGCACTAAACGCAAAAGTCAGTTTTATGGCGGACGAGCGGTATAAGTGGATGCATACCTGCCACAGTAGGTAGTCACTCAGTCTCTTGACACCACTCGTTCTAACTAGGATGTCCAAAGGAGGACTACCCACGCGAGATGTCATTAACTGATCCTCAATGTCCTGTTCGGTGATTTGGCTTTGTATAAATGCATGAGATTAAGTACGGAGAACAAATAACATGAAGACTTACGGGTCATCACCTTCACCAGCGTCCAGCGATTTGTTAACAGCTGCCTGTACTGCCATTGTTATCTCGTGCCGCGAGGCATATGGCATGTGGATATTTAGAATTGCTCTATAATAACCGCATGATCACCTTCAGAATTGATCAAAGAAAAAAGTAGTATTCACTTGTCGTTTTGTCGCGTCATATTCTCCGCCTTCGTTACGATGTCCTGTACATGAGCAGGCAAAAGGGCTGTATCACCCAGTACGTTAAGCCGTACGCCGTATTCATCCAACAGCTCTCTTTACACCGTTGATCACCCAACATGAAGCTTTCAGGGAGTGGACATACCCATGTTCACATATTTTTACAAGTTTTTCCTCCGCCAAAGCCATTAGCGCGTCTACTTCTTCCTTGGGACGCTTAAAGTTGTTTATGGCAAATGCATATACGCTTACGCAGCGAACATTGAGCTTTAAACATATTCCGAGAATCTGGCAAACGTATTTAAATCCATATGAGATAATTTGATCCCGCGTCTGAACACGACAACCAACCTACTTTTTGTAGAGTAGTAAAGCCCTCAGCGTGTCCAACCTGAACCTTGTAACCCTTCTGCCTAGCATAGCGTCTGTTTCCATCCATCACGAATGCGATATGGCGTGGAATGGGACCTGCAGCGAGGACGGCAAGGATAACATTCTGCAGCTGGAGCCATAACCACGAAAGCCACGTCTGCAGGAACGCGAACATGGTGGACTCGATCTAGTATGTGATCGTGGGAATTTACACGAATAGGATGCTTATGTAACGAATACAGACCAAAAGCAGTCAAGTCTAAAGCGATACCATACTCGTATTCCTCGGTTCTTCTTCACGTCCTCTGCCTTTTACCTCTACAGTGGCCCGCACAGCTCCCCATTGTGTAGCAGAAGAAATGTCTCACCCAAATACCAAGAAAGCGAAAGCGAACTCACCGGCGACTGAAGACGAGCTCGTAGGTCTTCTGGAAGATGCAAACCTACCAGAATACGTGCAAGGTCAACCATGCGACCTGGAGGACCAGGACAAGCCCCAGCCCACTAGATCTTCTCGCGAAAAGAAATACGCAACTATCGCAGGTGTTCTCATAGCACTCATATTTGGTGGCGCTCTGGCCAAGGTTCTGTCCACTTTACGTGCGGCATCTCCCGCTCCTGGTGCAGACGACACACTCTATTCGAATGGGACTCACGAGTTCAAGAAAACTGTGCTCATCGTATCCATAGATGGCTTACGGTACACTTAGCTCTTAATACCATTGATGATGCCTTTTAAAGTTATCTTTTAGGGCAGACTATCTGGACCGAGGCTTTACACCCCACTTGCTCGATATCAGTAAGAAAGGCCTCAGAGCTAAATACATGAAACCTATCTTCCCAGTAAGTTTGAGCCGTCAGTATCTTGTGAGACGTGGTGCTAAATTGCAATAGACTTTGACGTTCCCGTGAGTATCTTATCTTTCACACACACGCAGAGGATTGACATAAAGTTATCGTGCTAAGCAATCACTGGGCATTGATGTAAGTCAGGAACAATATTTTATCAATTCTTCATTACTTATATACTATTTTTGCGCAGGACTGGGCTATATGCGGAATCCCATGGTATCATTGCCAACGTAAGTTCTGCAGCATATGGGGCGACTGTTGAACTCAATCATTTGACTCCGTACAGAACTTCTGGGATCCTGTAATTCGCAGTGAATTTGCATACAATCGTCCCGAGGCGTCTTGGAATTCCTCCTGGTGGTTCGGCGAACCAGTGGGTGCCCCGAGAGCTGAATATTCAACCTAGTTTTTTGATTGCAGCAATTTTTTTAGATGTGGGAGACAGCAGAGAAATCTGGTGCGATAACAGCTAATTTAATGTGGTTAGTGGATTCGCCAGAACTACCTGCGCATATACTTATCGGTTTACGCAGGCCTGGTCCTCCAGTGACAACATCGGGGTGTTCACCTACGTACTATATTCCTTGGAGGGTAATTATACCTTTTGCTGATATATTGAAGTTGTTTCTGAAAACCTGTATGAAGAACCTAGTCCCTCTTCAGGAGAAGCTCGATCAAATTATGACCTGGATAGATTTTCCTCTTGAAACAAGGCCTCAGCTCATCATGGGTATGTTTGATTTTCATGCGCAATCTAACTTGTTTGATTAGCTTATTGCACTTAGCATACGACCCTTCTCTGGACCAAGCTGGTCATCTCACTGGTCCTATGTCGGCTTTGACTAACGTTAGTTGCTACTCTTTAACTTTGAGATTATTTTTCTCATTCAAATTTCATAATAAAGAAAACGTTAGCGGAAGTAGACATTTTCGCGAAAGATCTTCACAACTCACTAGAGGAACGAAACCTCACGGATATAGTCGACATTATTTTCGTCAGTGATCATGGTATGACTGACACCAGCCACCCCGAGTGGGTCTATCTTGATGATATTCTTGGAGAAGGTTATGACCTAATTGAGCACAGTGATGGTGCGCTGCATTCCTTCCGTAATAACTTATATCTGTTTAATGGCTTATCCAGGTTGGCCATCTGCCGGATTGCGCTTCAAACCCGGAACTAACGAATCTAAATACCTTGATATACTCCTTAATGAAGCAGGTTTGAACCCCGGACGGTTTGACGTGTTCACCCACGAAACGATGCCAGAGCGGTATCACTTTGCCAATCACTATCGTATCGCCCCTATCTACGTCGTGCCAAACATGCATTATGCTCTGACAAACAGAGTGGAAGGAGAGAGCGGTGTCTCCAAAGGGGTAAGTAGAATCCTGTTTCAGCCTGAAGTCACCTATACATATTTTGCTGCTTTACAGAACCATGGTTATGACAACGATGAGCCATCTATGCGAGCCATGTTTGTCGCGCACGGTCCATTCTCCCATGGGGCAAAGTCATCCCTTTCTTCTCTGTCCGAGTCTGTGGAAGCATGGGACTCTACGTCTGACGATCACTACATCATGAAAGGGTTTGATAACGTGCAAATCTACAGTCTCGTGATGAGGTTGCTTGGTATCGAGAACACGGCAAGCACGAATGGGACCAGGAGTTTCTGGGACCCCTACTTCAAGTTTTAACATATTCACCATGAGCCTATGTTATGATACCATCTAGATGTTCTTACAGTAATTGGATATCCAGTTTATGAAGCAACGGCTACATTTATTGGCTATCGGAGATATGTACTTGGTCTCACAGAAGAGAATGGGGGCATTGAGTCCCAGTCATAGGTGAATCTGAACTTTCTTACTACAGTAAAAGATTTAAGGAAATATGCAAACAATGAAAAACATCACTAGACGTTAGGACTTTCGTTATCGTATACAGCAGCCAACTTGTCATGTCTTCCTCTCCAAAGCCTCCTGAAAACTAGCATTTACTGCCCCTCAGCGTCGAATACAGTGTGATGGCCCCCCATGCCTCCTACTCCCATGTGTTCACCGGTGGCAGTGGGAACGTACGCAGCTTCCGGAACTCCAGATTCGTCTAAGCCTTCTGCAGCCTCTATGATTTCATAAAGCCGGGAAGCTACTTCAGGTGGAGGTACTCGGCCACCAAGAATATCGCGGGCAGGGACATTGGATCCATAGAACTCGCGGTTAGCATCTGCCCTTTGAATCAAAACTGTTCCTTCCAAAGACAGGCCAGCAAAGAGACCTGCAAGGTGAAAATATTCCTAGTTTGCGTTTTACTAACTTTGGATCGTACGCCACTTACCCTTTGATTTGGAATAAGAGAACATTGGTGCTGGGTGCGCCAAGCTTGCCTGTACACTTCCTCCTGTACCAATAGGGCCCGCAGCAGCGCTGATATTCCCGCCAATCGTGACATTACCGCCGATTGAGAACGCCCTGACTGCATCCTCGCTATTGAGCACAACCACAAAATCCGTTATATCTGCGCCAATTTGTAAACCCCAGCCAAGACCTCCTGTAGCTATGCATGAAGGGGCCGACCAAGAGCCATCGGGAAGTCGTGCAATGACGATTCCCGAGCCAGCTTTACCAGAGAAAACAAATCCAGCCTTGATGACTTGGAACACGGCAAGTCCTGTTACACCTCTGTTGAAAACTGCTGCACTGCATTTATCTGGCGGTTACTGCTCACCTCGCGCACGCTGTAAGACAGCCTTTGGGATAGAGTTCAACGCAGATTCAGGGTGATCAGGGTCAGCTGCGATAGGTCGAAGTAAATACTCGCACTGTAAGTGCTGTAAGGACCACAAACGTACCCAAGAAGCTGTCTAGGATCTTAGCCGCCTTCTCTGCTTCTCCTGGCAAACCGAATCCTTGTACAAAGTCTCTTGATCCAGTGGCGACTTTTGACGAGCTATCCATGACGAAGCTCGTCGCTTGAAGGCCAGCTTTCTGCGCACCTTTCTTGAACTTGTCAAACATAGACATTGTGGACAGTAAGTACTGGACTATGATCAGGAATTGCCCACAGCCCTCAGGCTCGCTCTATGACACGGATTACATAAGCGTACAGCACAGATTAGCGTCATTTTCGGGGTTCCTATATTCTATTTATTGAAGGATGATCTTGTGAAACCATATAATCTAAATATACTAAAGTATGGTCCTATGAAACTATAGTGTGTATTATTGTATGGTTTTAATATACTGTTTACTGAAGTATGGTCCCATACACCCATATTATTATACTATAGTATTAGTATGGTTCTGATACACTGTTTACCCAGATACAGTTATGAAACCATAGCAGCGTATTACAGTGTGGTTTTACCACGCCATTTATCAAAGTATAGTTGTATGTATCCATATCACTATGATATGGCTTTAATACCCTATTTCCATGGTATAGTTTTGGAAAACCAGATGGTTAAATTCCAGTATAGTTCAAGTAAACTATTTATCTAAGTACAGTTTTGTGCAACTATATTATTACATTTGGATATAATTTTCACAGCCCATATCAGGTAGCATTCATATGGTGTGTATAAGCCAAAGTATATAAGTTTGGTTTGTCTGAACCATAAGAATTAATTCCAGCGGTGGTGATGATGAAGACTATTGTTGCTAGAAAACCATACACAAAACATACTAACAAACAATCTCCCAGATCCCATGGAACTTGTTTATGGGCTTTGCCTCCTAGAACGATGGGTGCTCTGGTTGTTCATGGGGTGGTGAGTGTTATGATCCTTCAAAGCAAAACCCAGAGATGTGTGGGTTTGGAGGAGGAGAGATAGATGGAAGTTGGTAGATAGGGCCTTTTTGCTGAATATGGGGCTGAGATGGATATAGGCAAACACTACCTTGCTAATTGTAGCACAAGATAGGTTTGAGAATGACAAGCATCAAGAAAAGCACTTTGGCTATATAGCAGAGGCAATACTATATATGCTATTATAGCTCTTATAGTACTATAGCATCAGAAAAAACATTTTGGCAATATAGCAGAGGCAATACTATTTATACTATTATAGCTCTAATAGCACTATATAGAAAAGGTGATACTATTTATGCTATTATAGCTCTCATAGTACTATAAGTTTGAGCACACATAGCACCAGTATAATATTATATAGCTAGCCAAGGCATTATAATGGCTCTTATAGCAATAATAGCCTATATAGCTGTTGAGACCATAGTACATATTTATAGTAATGTTTTGTCCAAGTATAAGTTGTGGCAGTGTGTGAGAAAAATGACAAGTCCATGAAGGTCAATATATTGCACATGTATAGTATATTTTGTAAGCCTATACAGTGTAGTGGATAAATGTGTGGTATGTGGTTGTAGATTGATTGGTCAGCAAAAAAGCGGACCAACAGGTTGAGAGTTCAAATCTTGGGTGTGTGATTATTTTTTTAAATCAGCCACAAGTTCTCTCATAGCTCATATAGTCAGCCATATGCTATAAGTGCTATAAGTGCTATAAGAGGCTATAGCCAACTATAAGAGTACTATAAGAGCACATTGTTCCTGAACAGATGTTGGGGTTTCTATTGTAGCTATGATCACTATGACAGCTATATTTGCAACTATAGTACTATTAGAGTCTATATAGCCAAAGTGTTTTTCCTGATGAGATGACAAGATTCCCAGTGATAGCAGGCTCCTGATGCACAAATTTTTGTGCTCAAAAAGACTCTAATCAAAAGGGATGATAGTGACTTCAACAGTGGAGAGTGATGATGACAGCAGTTAACAGTAGTAGCAGTGGAAAGTGTTGTGACCACACTGGATCACAAGTTGCAGTAGAGTAGTGGACTTGAGATTAGAGGACAAGTCTAGTTTTGATTTTCTTTTGCCATAAGGTAGAATACAGGGGTTTATATAGTAAAAGAAAAGAAGGCTATACTGTGCAAAAAGAATGAGAAAGAACATGAAGGAAGGAATATGTGCTGACAAATCTTGTGCAGGTAGTACAGGATAAGATTGTTAAAATAAGGAAAAGAAGAGAATAAAACAGTAAATGCTGTGTATAGCGTTATAGTTTTGTACAGCCATAAAATAAAGTCTAATAGCAAAAGAGAGCAAGAAAATCATGATGTTATAGAAATATGCAGTAAAAAAAAGCAAGATAAAAATATCACCAGTATCAACACAGTTCCCTTGTTATCAGTTCGGCATTCTGAAAAAATATGTGTCCATAAAAATGATTCAAAAATCAAGAATAATTGCACTGCAAATTGTGAGGCAACGTTAAACTATAACAAAATCAATACCCATCTCCGACTGCGCTTGCAGGGAGTAAGAGGTCCGATGAGCTTGAGGTCAACAGATACTAGTAAATATAGCAAGTAGAGGACTTGGGAGTAAACTCAAGGATTTCGGTTGAGGAGTAAAGCGGGTAAATCAAGTAATAGAAAGCTAAAGAACTATACATGAGATGTGTAGGGTTTATATAGCTAACTGTCCGTCCCTCAGATTGAAAGAGGAATAAACAAAAAGTGGTCTGAGGAATAAATCGACCAATAAGAAAAAGGAATAACTATTGTATGACTTTGAATGATTAATCAGCAGGTGAGAGAGTTGTACTAATAATAGGTGTTGTCACGCATGTTCAGGAACCGTATCCTCATGATGAGGTACGATCCTGACTAAAGCGTCTATTAGTATATCCAGGCACTGATGGGGCTTGGAGCTGGTTGGCGAAATGCCTACTACCAGTCCTTACTCAGTGTGCTGGCTGGCTGGGAGTGATACCCAGTCTCTGATCTGTGATATAAAGTGGTAGTGATGGTTGAGAAAGCCTGTAAGGGCTATGAGAAGTAAAATAGCAAACAATACCTCTAGCCCTAGAGCTAGAGGTGTAATGGGAAAAGTGTTCGAGAACCAAGACATAGAGAAGATAAGAAAATAATAAAATGGTCCTTACACAAATGAATGTCCTACCAAAAAAAAGGAACTGGAGCCACCAGTTCACCACCTAGTCCAAATCCAACAGTTCCATGGCCTTACCAATGGTCTGGTTGTAGTGGACCACCTGGTCAAATGAGGGAGGCAGTGGAGTAGTTCCAATCTGGAACAGGTGTGTCCCAGGCAGCATGTGACAACCCTAGCTGTAGCAGGGGCAATGGACAAAAAATAAGTGTACCCAAGCAAATGGGGCAGCAATGTACATGGGCGACGCAAGAGGATGGACTGTTTCCAGCTCAAAAACTACCTAGCCGTGTTCTAGCCAGGCAAGATAAGTTACTAATGATTTGATAGTATGTGGTGGCAGATCAATGTTGTGGGGGTGGATCAGCTGCCAAATTTGGACCGGCCGCTGAGGCTTTGCTGAAATCAGTAGTGGCATGTGGTGGTTGACAGATTGGCGACAGAAGTGGATGGAAAGAGGTGTCAGATGTGGAGGAGGTGCGAGGAGGACAAGTAGGAGGAGTGTGGAGGTGACAAAAAAGTGGACAATGGTGGGGAACCAAAAATGACTGTCTCATGAGAAAAGAACAGATAGAAGAGGAGGGTACATAGTGGCACCAAGTAAGGGAAGGAGAGTAAGGGAGGCAACAAAAGTGAGGGCACAACTGTAAGGACCATTTTATTATTTTCTTATCTTCACTATGTCTTGGTTATCGAACACTTTTCCCATTACACCTCTGGCTCTAGGGCTAGAGGTATCGTTTGCCGTCTTACTTCTCATAGCCCTCACAGGCTTTCTTAACCATCGCTACCATTTTATATCACAGATCAGAGACTGGGTATCACTCCCAGCCAGCCAGCACACTGAGTAAGGACTGGTAGTAGGCATTTCGCCAACCAGCTCCAAGCTTCAATAAAGCCTGGTTATACTAATAAACACCTTATTCAGGATTGTACCTCATTATGAGGATACGGTTCCTGAACACGCGTGACAATCCTCTATTATTAGTACAAGTCTCTCACCTGCTGATTAATCAAGTTAAAAGTTGTACAATAGTTGCTCTCCCACTTCAGTCACCCCCAAAACATAAGCATTTAGCTTCAACTATCTGTGTAAATGTATAAAGCTAAGAGCTTGTTTTTCCTGGTATCATCCCAAGTGCTCCAGCAAGGATGGGATCATCCCAGAAGTGGGATAATACCACCCTTCTGGGATTTTCCCATGGTATCAGACCATTTGTTATGGTGGGATAATCCCAGACATTTGCCACATGTCACATGGTGTCAGGGGGGCTTTACTGCAAAAATAGTTCCTGCATAAATGTAGCCAACATCAATACATTATCAATAGTACTAATAGCCATGAAGCAGAATACAATACTACCTGCTTTCATCATTTATAACATATATACAAATTTCAAATGGTGTTTACTCTCAATTGAACCTTAATTTGTCCAGCTTCTAGTGTAATATCATATACTATAGATTGATGGAGGAGACTTTGACCAAAGGTTAGTGTAACTAATTGTGACATATAACCATTTACAAATTAACCTGATTTAATTCAGTTGATTAGGAGATAATTCAACCATATCTCTTTTCCTTAACTGACTATATAACTTTGTCATTCCTACTTATCATATAATTTACTGCATATCACAAAGTAGATTTATCTACCCTGGATTTCTATCAATGTTACTTAAAATGGCTTATAGTCAAAGGAATACAAGATGTTTGACAATACCAAGCATATACATCTGCAGGATTACAATACCTCTCATTCAGGCTCATCCAACTTTAAATAATGTAACACTCTTGCAACCAGGCAAAGATATGTCACAAATCCATTTAATGTGCTGATCCAAAAGATATGATATTTTTTTGAATTGTGCAGCTTTATCCAAGTGCCTGAACTGAAAAATGCACAAAGATACCAGTCCGAGTAAGTACTACATATTCATTATCCTTCCCTCTGCTGCATCATTGTCAAAGGCAGAACATGTCTTGCATGAGACAAATTGCTGGCTCTTTGTGGCAGCCCAGCATCCACAAGCCAACACCCATTTTATCCACTATATGTCCCCACGCATACAATTGATTATAAATTTTTG